AGAGAAGAGAAGAGGAGAGGAGAGAGACTATATGTATATTTGCCTGTGACTCATAGCAGCCTTATGCACAATAGCCCAAGACCCTGCTCTATTCCGTGCCAATCTTATTGTCTCTGACACACCTATCCCCATTACCCCAGTCACTGAATCAATCTACCTCCTTCAGGGTCTTCCTCTCCTATGCTGTTCCACCCTCCCAAGCATGACGTCCCTCTTCAAGGACTGATCCCATCTTGCAACATGTCCAAAGTATGTCAGATGAAACTTCAGAATCTTTGCCTTCAAGGAGCAGCCTGGCTTTGCCCTCTCCAGAACGAACTTGTTTGTTCTCCTAGCAGTCCACGGTATAGTCAATACTCTTCTCCAGCACCAGCTCAAAGGCATCAATTCACCTTCTATCATCCTTAGTCATTGTCCAGCTTTCTGAAGCATAGCAAGTAATTGCAGAGACCATGGCTTATATCACGCGCACCTTATTCTCTATACTTACATCATTGCTCTTCAGTACTTTGGAAAAGTCTCTGACAGCTGACTTTCCCAGTGCAATTCATCTTTTAATTTCCTGGCTGCTGGTACTAAGAGTGTTGATTTTAGAGCCAAGCAAACTGAAGTTGTCAACAATCTCAATCTCTTCACCATCCATCATGATGCTGCCAATTGGCCCAGTGGTGAGAATCTTTGTTTTCTTGATGTTGAGCTTCAATCCATATTGAAGGTTACACTCCTTGACCTTCTACAGCAAACACATCAGGTCCTCCTCCGTTTCAGCCAGCAGGATTGTGTCATCTCCATAACACAGATTGTTGATGAGTCTACATCCAATCCTGATGCCATATTTCTCCTTATAGAGCCCAGGCGTCCGGATGATCTGTTCCGCATTTAGATTGAAAAGATATGCAGATAGGACACATCCTTGGTGCACACCATTCCCAATTTGGAACCATACAGTATTTTCTTATTTTCTTCTGATGACTGCCTCCTGTTCCTGTTCCAAGTATAGGTTTTGCATAAGCACAATAAAATGTTCTGAGATTCGCCTTCTTCTCAGAGTTAAAGTTTATTGTGATCTACACAGTCAAATGTCTTTGCATAGTCAATGAAACACAGATAGACATTCCTCTGGTACTCTGCTTTTAACCAAGATCCACCTGACATTAGCTATATGCTGTTCCAGTCATTTTTTTTTTATAATCTTCAGCAGAATCTTGCTTGCATGTGATATATTGATACAGTTCGATAGTTTCCACACTCTGTCTGACATAAGCGCGTGCGCGCATGCGTGTGTGTGTGTATGTTGGTCTTATGTCCCGTCAAGTCACCTGCAACTCATAGTAACCTTATATACAACAGTTCTGAAGCCTGCCCTGTCCTGAGCCAGTCTCACTAACTCCAACACACCTAACCCCAGTTACTGAATCAATCCATCTCATCTGGGGGCTTTCTCTCCTGTGCTGTTCCTCCACCCATCTGAATATGATGTTCAGAGTACAAGGATTTGTCCCTCTTGGCCACATGCCCAAAGTATGTGAGATGGAGCTCTAAAATCCTAGCCTCTGAGTAAAATCTTGGTTTCTCTCTAAGACAGACCTATTTGTTTTCCTGGTAGTACATGCTATGTTCAAGACTCTTCTCTAGCACCACAACTTGAAGGCATCAATTCGTCTTCTGTAATCCTTAGTCATTGTCCAGCTATCTGATGCATAGCAAGTAATTGCGAAGGTCATGGCCTGGATCAGGCACACCTTATTCTCTAGACTGACATCTTTGCTTCTCAGTACTCTAGAGAAGTTCTTGATAGCAGATTTCCCCAGTGGAGAATTGATGCCTTTGCGTTGTGGTGCTGGAGACGAGTATTGAGGGTACCATGGACTGCTAGGAAAACAAACAGATTCATCCTGGAAAGGGTGAAACTGAGCTGCTCCTTGGAGGCAAGGATTCTGAGGCTCTGCCTAACATACTTTGGACATGTTGTAAGGAGGGACAGACAGGTCCTTGGAGAGGGACATCATGCTAGATAGGGTGGAGGGACAGCACAGAAGGGGAAGGCCCTCTATGAGGTAGATTGATTCAGTGACTGGGGTAAACGGGACGTGTTTGTCAGAGACAATACGATTGGCACAAAAGAGCAGAGTTTAGGGCTGTTGTACATAGGGTCGCTATGAGTCGCAAGTGACTCAATGGCACATAAAACAACAACAACAAGGGATGATAGAAGAATAATTGATGGCTCTGAGCTTTGGTCATAGAAAAACACCATGGACTGCTAAGAGAACAAACAGGTTTTGTCTTGGAGAGTAGGACACCAGGCTGGAGGCAAGGATATGAAGCTCTGTCTGACATACTTTGGGCATGTTGCAAGGAGGGATCAGTCCTTGGAAATGGACATCATGCTTGGGAGGGTGGAGATTGGCTCAGGATAGAGCAGAGTTCAGAACTATGTTGTACACAGGATCACTATGAGTCACAAGTGACTCGATGGCACATAACACTCTCTGTCTTTGTCTCTGTGTGTATACACACACACACATACACACACATACCTTTTAAATCTATATGCAGAACAGATCCTTTGGGAGGCTGGGCTTTATGAGGAGGAATGTAGCATAAGCATTGGAGAAAGACTCATCAAAAACCTACATTGTGCAGATCATGCAACCTTGCTTGCTGCAACTGTGGAGGACTTGAAGAGCTTGCAGCACAAGGTCAAGGACTGTGGCCTTCAATATGAATTTAAGCTCAACATCAAGAAGATGAAGATTTTCATTGCTGGGCCAGTTGGCAGCACCATGATAGATAGAGAAGTGATTGAGGTTGTTAACAGTTACAGGTTGCTTGGCTCCTCAATCAACACTTTTGGTACCAGCAGCAGTCAAGGATTCAAAAGGTACATTGCATTAAGTAAATCTACTGTCAGGGACCTTTCCAGAGTACAGAAAAGCAATGATGTGAGTCTAGAGATTAAGATGCACCTGATCCAATTCATGGTCTTCGCAGTTACTTGCTATGCATGAGAGAGCTGGACAATGACTAAGGATGATAGATGAAGAATTGATGTCTTTGAGTTGTGGTGCTGGAGAAGAGTCTTGAATATACCATGGACTGCCAAGAAAACAAACAGTTCTTACCTGTAGAGAGTGACATTAAGTTTCTTCTTGCAGGCTAGGATTTTGAAGCTCTGTCTCACATACTTTGGGCACGTGGCCAGAAGGGACCAATCCTTGGAGAAGGACGTCATGCTCAGAAGGGTGGAGGGACAGTGCAGGAGAGGAAGACCTGTGATGAGATGGATTGATACAGCAACTGGGGCAGTGGGGGTAGGTGTATCAGAGACAGTGAGACTGGCTCAGAACAGGGCAGGCTTCAGAGCTATTGTACATAAGGACACTATAAGTCACAGGTGACTTGATGGCACATAACACCAACAACAATATATAATTTTATAGGGGTGGAAAATAAAGAGTGTGGAGTTAGGAAAAAAATTTACATATGGACTCTATAGATATAGACTCTATTGATATAGACTCTCTATAGTGGTAAGAAACTGTGCTGTAATACTGAAGGCATGGGTTTCAAGGCCCCAGTTACTTTGCAGGAGAAGGATGAATAATCTTCTCTTGTGTGAGTAATGACCTCTGAAACCCTGCTGGAGGGTCAACTATGGGTCAGTTTTAACTCTACAGTACACATCTATCTATCTATCTATCTATCTATCTATCTATCTATCTATCTATCTTTTCTACCCTTGGAGATTTTACTCTGATTGTTTCTACTTCTGCTCGTGGTGTTATCATAATTGTTGTTGTACGTCATTGATTCAGAATCAACCCATATCTGACTATCTAGCAGGCTTTCAGAGACTATAAATGACACAGAAGGAGATTTTCCTTCCTTCTCTAGAAAAGCAACTGGTGGATTTGAACTGCATGTCTTTGGGATGACAGTTCTGTTTCCCATTAGGCCACTAGAGATCCCTATAACATTAACAATGAAAATTCTCAATACTATAAGTTACATAATGTCTATGGTCAAATCTCTTTCTTGCTTTAGAAATTTCATACCAATTAAATTAGGTGTCTTGAATTCCATCTGGTGTATCATACTGAAAATGTCTAATTCTCTCAACTTATATCAGTCAAGTGCTCAAAAATTAGTAGAGGGGCATAGTGGAGTGAAGATGAAGTGATAATAGTGAGAAGATCGTAAGGCATAATGGAAAGGTA